GAGAGAAGAAGGAACAGCGAAAGGAAACGCAAGAAAGAATACCAGAGAAGTCTTTTTCTTAATGCTTATTTTAGTGCTGAAGTTTTTTTGATGCTTATTTTAGTGCTTAAGTTTTTTGCTTATTGTAAGTTTTTTTTTGATTCTCCGGTCTAGTTTTTTTGATGCCTATTTAGTTTTTTTTGATGCCTCACCCATTATTAGCTGCAGCCTGCGACGAGGGGCCCTCTCCCAGAGGCGTAAAGCCCTCCAGGGGCGCTTGCAGATCCGATGATTCCGATGATGCGTCAAATATATTGTATGTGACCCGGAAGCCACTAGTCAGGACACAAGCCTTAAACTGCACATAGCAAGCTCAGACCGTAAAGGCCATGCCTGCTTTGCGAGTGTGTGAGTCGAAACTGCTCCGAAGGTCCAGCGCCTTCGTGGCAGAGATCCTGCCATCGAGGCCCCACCTTTCGTCGGGGATGGGGATCTTCTTCTGGCCTGCAAGCTTGGAGCGTTGCCAGCTGAAAGCCGAGCTTGTGGCATGGATACTTCTTGTGTGATTCGTGTTTGGAGTCCCAGGAGGAGCTTGGCATGTTGTCACATGACAGCCCCGACGAGAGAGCGCCAGTCATGCAGCAGTGTCGAAAATGTAAAGTACTGCTGCCACCTGAGCTGCAAGAGACAGAAATGAAGCAAGTGTCAGGTTGAAACCATTTTCCACAAAGCAGATGCTCAGCTTCTTCGAGCGTTGAAGAAGTTGCGCCACCCGATCTTGGCCGATGTCTCGGAAACCCGGTCGTCTTTTGTCAGGGTACGCTGTAGCACAGCACTTCAGGGACACGCTGTATCCAACATGGATGTGTGGCCAGGTTTTGGACGAGAGAGGTGCCCTGCTGGACTCCGAGGACGTTGCCGCAGCACAATGCCGTACTTGCCAGCCGTTCATGCGTCACCCACAGTGCGCAAGGAGTTTGCTCGTCTTTTGTTTGCACGGCTTGAGGCTCGCCGCTTGCAGTCGACTGCTTGCCAATCCTGAGCAGAAGTTTCTTGCAGGAAGTTGCAGGAATCCATGGACAACCTATGAGCCCCAGCCAGCATAAGACTAGAGAGCCACAGGAGGGCAGCGCCCGTCTATCCTTCTGCATCGGAGCTGCCGATGGCCTGCAAGTGGCTTAGCCCACTTTGGGATCTGAAGCAGAAGCCCTTGAGGTCATGAATATCTAAGTTAATTGTGTGGGTCGCCGTAGACCAAGCACGAGGGCACGTTGGTCGAGCCAATTCGAGCCACCACAGGTCCGAAAAATGCGTGGCAGATAGCACCTCCTCCTTCGCACCTCAGGAGGAGTACTCGTACCTTGAGGGATGAAGTAAACGCAGAGGTCGAGGCCTGGGCTTGGACTCCTTGAACCCTCTCTGCTCTGCGCCCAGGCCACAAGAACTCCGCGCCTTGCCCAAAGCCAGCTGCGATAAGGAGGCTTCCGCGTGTCGTTAATGGCCACCACTGGCCTTGTGCTAACCTTGCCGGCCTGCGCGTTCGACTGGGTTGCAAGTGTCACTTTGTAGCGCCGGGGTGTTGGTTGTTGGGTATTGTTTGGTTGTAGCGACGGTCTACGGATTTTCTGGGAGTTTTTCAGGATCAGGGAGCTAATGGTCGAGTACGGGTTCCTGGCTTCAGTGGGATTTGAAGTCACCATCCGCTCGCAACGAGGGGTCATAGATGGTCGTGAGATGGCCAGGGAGTGCCTCGGGAGCTCCTGTCACTGGGGCGGCTGACGTGCCTTGGCAGCCCCTTACATGAGAATCAGAAGGCAGCACAAGGATTTTGAGGATGGCTGAATAAAACGCCGAGGTTGCCGCACAGGCGAGGACCGTTGCGCAGTCGGTCTGGGTTTGGAAGCGGTGGTGGTTTCCGGCAGATTGGCCCGGGTGCTGCTGACGGAGCAGATCTACCGAGCTCAAGAAATCAGGCGAAAGCTGGACAGAGGTTTTTTGACTTCACGGACTGGTGCTGTTTTTCCATGTCGCCGCACGTCTTCAGGCGAGGCTCTCGCTATCATCGAGGCGATCCTGCCTGAGTCTTCTTGCGTGATCCAGGCCCATATCATCGGCTCGAGTGTACGGCGTCGTTTCGGAGCGATTACTCGCCTGTTGGTTGTTCTGTTCAGCAAGGAGCCCATGCTACGGACCAGCCAAGCGCGCGTCAGACTGAGCTTGGCACTGTCAGGGGAAGCCTTGGGTTTGGGGTGTGGATCCAGGCTGCCCCTGTTCGTAACAATCTCTTTGACTGCAGCTGTTCCCGGTGGCCAAAACAAACCCGACCCAAACGAATGGCCATGGCACGTTGGGCCAGCGAGGCCAGGACAATCTGCCAGCAGATCGTGTCTTTTTGCATGATGTAGGAAGTGGCACCAGGTGCGACGATTTAGGTCGCGGGGCCTTTGCATGTGCGTGCTCGCACTGCTTACGGTTCTCAGTTTGGCGGCATTCTGAGTCGACACGTGATCATTGCGATGGTGTAAGCCTAAGCCTTTTTCCGCTGAGGCGGGAAGCCACTCCTTCCTGGGACCACAAAACAACCAAGGCTGAGGGACGGGCTTTGGCAAAATCCGATGCTCCCAAACTGAGAGGCCACCCGTCAAGGACAGAACCACTGTGTCCCGGGAGGCAAGCGCAAGACACCAAGCATCGAAGCAGTTGGCAAAGACCCGATGGAGCTTTGTCTGCAACGCCACGCCAATGTTCGATGGCTTCTGTTCTGCTGGTAGGTAGTTGGTACGTAGTACTGGTAGTATACTGGAAGCCTGGCGGTCCTCTTCCAGGGGGCGTTCCGTGATGTTCCAACTGCCCAGACTGCGCCTGAAGACGAGCACAAGGCCCGGCATGAGATCACGAGAGCCCGTTCCATTGGTCCATGTGCAGCACGCGTCGTGCTCTGTCCTACTATTGGCACATGCGTCCATAGTCCATGGCCAATCAAGTGATTGAGCTTCAAGTGGAATTTTGCACAGATACGGGTTTTGTTGATCTTCAGCCGGGGCAACATGCGCCGGTAAGGCAGTATTGTAATCAGGTTCAGTGGTGGCTTCCATGGCACACGAAGCGATCGAATTGGTTCTTTACACTCACACGAAGCAAAGGCGTGCTATGTTGTGTGGCTTCAGCTGTTCCGTTCAAATTGTACAAGCCGCGAACATACTAAGCTTCAGCTTTGACGACTCAAGGGGCACACACCGCAGCTTACCCTTGAGGGCCGAAAGAGCCGCACGTTTGTCGTCATGACCGACTCTAGTCTCTAAGCTCCATCTCCAGATATCTTTACAAGCAACCACCATGACTGAACACTCACTGCATGCGGAAGGCATACTTGTGCATTAGCGGTTTTTGTCGGAAGCAAGCTGCATTTGTACTGCGCAACAGTTCAGCAGTGCTTGTAGCAGTTTTGCTGCGCTCGTGAAGGATGTGTAAGTTGCCACATCGCAACCGAAACTCCGTTGTTCACGGTACACTGCAAGTTCAATATCAAGATCCGTATACCCATAATCCTGGACGGCTAGGCGCTGAAGGATATTGGTGGGACGATGATCTCGCTCGTGTTCTGGGCCGTCTTTATCCGCGCTATCGTCATCGAGGACACAGCACTGGAGGGTCGGGATTCCACAGCAAGCTTAGAGTTGCTTGTGGTGTCAACATGTCTGGCGAAACCTGTCCTCCGCATCAGCTTACAGTAGATGAGTAAGCACACGAAGACTGGGTCGAAGCCGCTTTTCATGGATCTTTCTGACCACGTGCAGGAGCACTATCTTCCATACCAGGAGATGAGAACATCGCTCATGATGGAAGGCATGGGTGGATCACAGATTCACGTCTTTCCAACCGTCCGGACCTGAGCTCCATTAGAGCTGCCTCCCTTGCGCCGCCCGAAAAACTTCACCGAGGACTGACTGGCTGTGCCCATCTCCTAAACCAGTGTCAGCAAAGGCCTCAAAACTGGATGGACAGGCATGGATAGGCAATCCACATAGCCTACACGTAGCTTGGGAGGATCCCGGAAATCGATTTTTTGAAGTCGCCGGGCATGATTTGTGTACAGATCTACCTCCCGGTCAATAATTTCGACTGGCCAGCATATGAATTCCATGTGATCCCATCTTGAGCCAAATTTGGGCAAGTCTAAGTCACCGAAAATCACAGCAAGGACAGCTTCAGTTGCAGTCCTTCTTGAGGGCCGGCCAGCCATGCTCTGCATTTTTGTGCAGTTTGAGCTCGTTAGCGCCACTACAGGCGCTAGAAAGCTGGCGACTGTTAGTCGGTCAGCATTTGAGGAATTAGGTCCGTGACTCGCCGTTCCATCGTCACGTGCATGCAAGCTCGGCATGTCGTCAGAGCAGGGCAGCTGTCAGCTTGGAACCATGGTGCCGGTACCACACTGAATGCTGGGAAAAAGTGCAGAATCTCGGGAGGGCAAACCGCTCAAGGAACGAAGCAGGGTGTCGGGTGAAGAGCCGAGGCCTGTGGATCATCCTGATCGCCGAGTCCGAGTTGTGCGAGCTCGTCCTGCCCATGCCTTGGCGCAGCCCATGCTGGGGCATGCATACGTACATACGTTCAGGCCTGCTCGGGCATGTACATGCCTGTACGCACGCAAGGACCTACCCCAATCGCCACTAAGAAAAAATCTGGGTTACAGGTACGTACATACGGGCACACATACATAGCGTACGCAGGTACGGTACGTACCTGCCTGCTGTGTTCACTTCGAGGAAGAAAGCGTACTAACCTACGTATGTACTCTCTTGTTCGGCCTTGCAGGTAATCATGCCGACATTGCAATAATACATGCATGCTCGGGGACGTGGATATATGCACACGAACTCATGCCCGCCTCCCTGTCCTGTGAAAATGTTCGAAGATGTTGTCGAAGTCGTAGGTCGTATTAGGTACGCGTTACATTCGCACATGTACATGCATGCGTGCATGATGCATCCATGTGTGTATTCTCTATCTATGTATCTAGCTATCTATCTATTTATCTATATATGTGTATATGTACATGCCTGGAGAAGCTTGCGCTAACATCCCGGCGCGCGCGTCGTGGCAGCATCTTGCAGCTGGAGTCTGTGCACCAGCGATTGGCAATGCAGGTGAGTCTTCAGCCGAAGGGTGGAGTCCGGACTATGAGCCATAGGCCATAGGGAGCTTGCACAAAGCGTGCCTGTAAGGCGCATGAACCTTTCCCTGTAAGGTGTCGATGACGGCCAGCCTTGCGGAGGCTTAAGAATCCGAATGCCAATCAGTGGACACATTCTTCCGCGTTTGCGACCAGATAATCGGGGCCATCTCCAGCGAATTGCGTCCTGAGCCAAACCTGATATAGCGCTGACTACGACAGAATCCAAACAAGGTGAAACAGCAATCGAGCCCTAGCAGTGAAGCCCTGGAGCAACTTCAGCGGCAACCGACAACTTCGTTCATCTCGATCCTTGTGACAAGATAGTACCCCCCACAGAATGCGTCTTGTCGTCTGATCTGAGCTATGGAACCTGAGCCATCTGCCCCATCGACAGTTCTTGCAAAAAGTGCTGACCTCAAACTTCGCAATGCCGTGTTGTGAGTGCAGCAACAAATTTGGACAGATTGGATAGATTCGAGCATGGCAGTAGAGGGCTGGCCCTTTGCAAGTGAAGGTTAGCGTCGAGTCAGTCCTCTGAGCACTTGAGACAGACTGGCGTCGTGTCCTGGACGAGCTGAGTGCGAGCGACATGTTACGTCCGAGGCAAGATCGAGAAACCGAAGAAGGCAGATTTTCGCCAGCGAGCCCACTGCAACCCTCTTTGTGACTCTGGAGCTTGAAGATAGGGCTTTATGACAACTCTCAAATCCTCTCATGATCCGCAGTTGGAAGTTTTCCGGCTTCAGCGAAGTTGTCAAGGACTGGGGGGACTGTTATCCGGCACTGCTCTCAGTGACTGCGTTTCGTTTCTGTGGGAAGCGCTGAAACAGATCCTCCCTTGCGTCCATGTGAGGCGTCTCCAGACCATGTGGACTGGTCGGTGCACTTCCCTTCCTTCTTCGACGGCAGCCCGGACAGGCTGCAGCTGAACACCGCCGAGAACCCTATCGAGTGCTCCCTGCGGTTATAGTAGCTGGGTCTCGGTTCCGCTCCCAGTCACTGACACTGGCTGCCAGTGCATTTTGCACCCCGACTAATGACTAAATTATCTGGCACCACGAAGCTGCAACGCAGAAGCTTCTACTTCTACGACAGGCTTATGCAGAGAGATGCGGACCTGCTCGAAATGGTGGCTAGGTACTTGGGCGTCGTGCCAGACGCGCGGAACGGTAAGGAAAGCCGTCTTGTCTGGGAGCAACAGTGCACCCGGTCTAAAGCCTTGCCGGAGTCTCCTCGCGAGGCTGGCGCACACAAAGTCCGATTTCTGGATGTTGGCTGTGGTTTCGGGGGCCTCCTTATGGCACTTAGCCCCAAGTTCCCGGACAAGTCATTTGGCATTGCTTAAACAGTGTCATCTTCGTCAGGTTGTGTACGAGGACGTGTGAGCGTAGAACGTTCCACCCTGTACCAAGGCTAATGCTTGGCATGGAGATTCGCGAACAGGTCACGAACTACGTGGGCAAGCGAATCCACGCAATGCGACAGGGGGCAGAGGGCTCTCCCTCCCATCACAATGTTTCAGCTTCTTGGCCTTTGTTGGCCCCACAGGGGTGATGAGGAGTTCGAAGGTCAAGCTGGGCACAAGTGAAAACTGGAGGGAAGCAAACCAGCCGAGGTAATCCGGACCAATGCGATGAAATTCTTGCCGAACTACTTTCGGTTCCTTAGCTGTCTGACGACTGCATGTGCTCGCGAGCCTGTGCATCTCTGACTATGCCCAGGAAAGGACAGCTGGAGAAAATGTTCTTCTGCTTCCCGGATCCACATTTCAAGCGCAACTTGATCACATTGTGTCGTGATCTCGTGATGACCAGAGCTTGTCTCAAAAGGGCACTTGGAGGCAAAAATGCTCGCCGACGTATCATCAGCTACGGACTGCTGTCCGTATACGCGTACGTGATGGCTCCTGACGGACTGTCCACCTCTAAGTGCTGTGGAAGATGTTTCAAGTTGGTAACTGCCGCATCGGCCGAGCCGCATATAGGTTGTACCATGCCACAGACGTCAAAGACCTCCACGAGTGGATGGACACCGCTTGTGAGGAACATCCACTGTTCCGACGTGCCCGGCACTCAGGAGGGCACCAGGAGGTCTTTGAGGCATGCATCATCTTCACATCATATTCATCGATTGTGTCCCCACACCGCTATCGACATGCAGCAGTCTAGACAAACCCCGTGGCCTTGATGAGTTACACGAGTAAGGGCGCGGTATGTCCAGAAGACGTTCAACATTCCTTATTTTTGCAGTGTTCCGTGAAGATGTAATACTGCTATTTCCTCTTTGATCACCATGCCGTGCTGCATGCGCAGCAGGATTTCCGGCGTGGCCCAGAGTGGCTTTTCTGAGTATCGCGTGCTTGTTTCGATGACGACGATGATTAACGCCGCCACCACCTAGGGCGACGACACATGTAGCAAGACCTCAGCCAGCTCCCTGTGTTGTTCACGCATTTGTTCAAGTGTTACGACTCAGTTTCGACATTATTTATATATTCATATACATGTCCTTGTATATATATATATATATACCATGCACACATATACATACACACACCGGCTGCGATACGTCCTGTCCTGTATTCGAATTGGCGTCCCTGAAATTTGGGCACTGGCGCACTGGGAGAAACAGTGGCTTGCTCTGGTCCGTGAATCTGTTCATTGGATGTGGACCCTACTTGGCACGCAAGAAGGCTTTACTGACTCCGGTCAGGCTTGGAGTGCGTGGAGCGAAGAAGCCAAACAGTTTTCTGGCAGATGGAAGGCTCGAATTAGACGGGCCACAGGAGTCGCCTTGCGAAAGGAGAAGTGGCAGGTGACTACAGCAACACGCAGGATTGCTTGAAGCTTGTAAGGCAAGCGCGCCTGCTCGGGCTGTGATCCCGTCGGACATCGTAGAGGAGGTCGGTGGACAAGAGGTTTGTGCCTGCTGTGGACTCCTCTTTCGGGACTCCCCTTGCACCGCGCATGCCTTTCCGTAGACTTTCGTCCGACCTCCGGCGCTCACACTGATTGCGTCACCACGCCACGAATGTCTGGCTGTGCAGACACTTGAACGTCACTCTGTGGCATGCCGGCGTGCACTCCTTGGCAGCTTATACAGGGTTCTGCCAATTCCGGGACAGGGAAGCCGCCAGGCCCCCAAGGAGCACCTGTTTTGCGCCCTTCTGCCCTGCAGGCTGAAGGGCCCACGACCCCTGACACACACGCACACACACACACACTTACACTTTGTTATTGATGCCGAGGTCGATAGACCGTGGGCTGAGTTCTCGAATGTCTCGAACATCTAGGTTTTTTCGAGCCCGTCGAGTCGTTGCCTGTGGACGTGCTCTGGCAGCGTATCAGGACTTCTTTTTCCAGTGTCGGCCTCCCTTTGGGCCGTATGCGCCTCACCGCTGAACTCTGGCGAGACAAGTTGCGAAGAGACCCTAGAGTCCCGAGAGCACCCTCAATAGGCCGGCCGCTTGGGTTTGCAATGCCGATGTCGCTGAGTGGTTGGTACCGTCCCCCGGGCAAACATGCCAGACCTACGACCTTCTGGCACATTGCCACACTGCTCGGCCTTCTTGAGCTTCAGCATGTCGTCATACCTCTCTCTTGCTGTTTACACCCATGACGAGTCGCTGAACCGTCTGAACTCTGGTGAGACCTTGGATTTTCTCACCGGGTCAGATCACGGGTGTGGTTTCAATCTCAATCTGCAAGGACTCCCGACGCCTTTCCTGTCGGAAGAGACCGAGGCAAGAAACCTTGAGACCTCCTGCTTTCCCTTTGCTTGTCTTGTGACATCATTCGCTCGTCGCTTGGACTTTGGGCCTCTCTGTGCCTCGAAGTCACGGTGGACATTCGGTCTCACTCCTAGGCTTCCAGGCCTACAGACCAGGGTTGAGGAAGGACATCTTACTCTGTGGTCCGTACCAGACGGATCGCCTCTAGACTCTGGCTTTGTTTTCACCTTACTTAAGTTTACAAGCCGAAAGGGCTGCGGCAAGACGACACCGCGCCCCAAACAGAGGAAAACAGAGGATATATATATATATTATTTATTTATTTCTTTATTTACTTATATTTATATTTATATTTATATTTATGTTTATATATATATACATACGACGATGGCTCTGGTCGATCAATTACGACTGCTGTAAGGACGAGGATGGCCACGACCGTTCTTGTGAGCACGGTGTTAGCAGATGTTGGTAACATGTTCACCGTTCCGTTGTTGCTTCTTATGCGATTAACTGTCATTGCTCGTGGCTCCTTATGTGCCTCATTTCCGTGTCCTTGTATTTTTGTGATTAGCATGGGTTGGCGCCGTTCTTGTGAGTACGGTGTTAGCAGATGTTGGTAGCATATTCACCGTTCCGTTGTTGCTCCTTATGCGATTAAATGTCATTACTCGTGGCTCCTCATGTGCCTCATTTCCGTGTCCTTGGCGCCTTTTTAATTGTGGCAGCACCAGCAAGCAAATGAACTGCAATTGCACAGGTGCTAGCTCACTGATGTGCTTGAAAATGAGGGGACCTGCTCGGTTAAGTGAGGAAGGGCGCAGAATCGACTGCACTGTAGATTCGACAGTCTCTCGGGCATCGCATCCAGAGTCCTTGGCATCAGAAACTGCTGTAGCCACAGCTGGTGCAAGAGATCTAGCATTAGAAGCCTCGCCTAGAGTGTCCGAATTCCTTGAAGCCTTCGATGTTTGGGAGGTGCCTTTGGAGGAGCTCGAGGGCGATGCCTGCATCGAGGCCGTGACTTCCGAGACCGAGGAGGCCAAGCGAGCCCAAACCTCAGTCGGAAGTTCCGGGAGCGGCTTTAAGCCAAAGCAGGTACAAGCGGAGCAAACATGGAGCATGAAGAGAAGGAAGGGGAGAAGAAAAGGGATTTTGTATGCTTTTGCAAACGGATGAATGCACCCAGCTCCGGCTTTTTTCTGCAAAGACTCTTCCGGGCGGTGGATTTCTTACAGAGGTTTTGGGCACGAGCTGTTGCACATGGCTTGGACATGAGCTTCTGAGATGCTCCGGATGTGTGAAGATGTTCGCTGCGTCTTAGATCTGCTCCCACTCACAGCAGCCGTGCCATCGGTGCGATCTAAATATGGCAATGAAAATGCCGTTTGCTGCGAGACTCGGTTGAGACGCTTGCCACTTGGGACATCCTGCAAGGTAAAAAACCTCGGCCGGTTTGGTCACGACGTGTATCTGAGACGCTTGGATGCCATTGTTCATGCCAGCTCCTGGCCTGTACCACCATTAGTATTGCACCGTCAGGCGTGTTCCGACGAATCGCCCCTTTGAGCGATGGCGACGAGAGATAGACATGGTAGCGAGTCAGGAGAAAGGACGTCGCATGCCACTGGATGCTTAATGTTGAGTTCATGTTAATCCCCCCCGATTGATTTTGGTTTCAGGCCCGGGCAGAGTTGATCGACTAGTGAGGGGGGCTGTCCCAGTACTACTGCTCTGCGACTCTGGGAGGGCTGACACTCGGGCCTCAAGTGTTCTTTGCGGAACCGGTGACGGGCACATTATTGAGTTTTCGCGATCGTTGATCATTAAGTTTCCGGGATCGAGTGACAAAATCGAGGGACGAGGGGGGGTGTTAAGATGCCTTCAATCCACACCCTGCGGTTGCAGATGACGTTCATTCCTGCAAGCCTTCGGCGGAGAGGCTCAGGAGTGCGGGGTTTGCCAAATTAGATCTGCAGGTCACGCATGAACAGCGATGGTAGGGGGTGCACCTGTCGCCCCCACACTGTGCTTGGGAGCGTTGCTGCCTTTGGTACATGCCTGGCGGGGCTCTGTGCCGGACATTGCTAGCAGCTCACTTGGCGACGAAGGCGGTCGAATGTAGTGACAGGTCGCAAATACAAATAGTCGGCGACGTAGACACGCAGAAGAGTCCTTGCTGCAGGGTCATTGCTTGGACTTGAGCGTGCCCTGAGTGGAGGTGTTGTGGAGACCTTGACTCACAAGCGCTTGGGTGCTGTTATCTATCCAGCCATGACCGTCGCAGCTATTCTTTTTGCCGTTCTGCTAGCGACTGCTTTGCGAAATACGGAAGAGCAGACGGTGCAGAGGGCTAGAACAACAGTGCAGGCAGACCCGCAATATGTGTCTGCACTGCAGAGCTGATACCCAGCAGTGACTGTCAGAAGCTGCTTGTCTTGTCATGCTGCTCCCCACTGACAGGGCAACAAGCTGCTGCAAAGGGCGGGCACTTTTCACGCCGTGAAGCAGCTCAACCCAGAAACGACATTTCTTGAGGATTTCAAGTCTGTCTTGGCCCAAGGCTCTTTTGGAGCTCGAAGCTTCAGGAAGCTGCCTTTCCAGATTTCCAGCTGCCAAGGCTTTCACATGGAAGCGACTGGCAGTCTTCGCGTTTGCGATTTTCCTTGGACTAACTGTGGCACTTTTCGCGGACCGCCATCTCTTCGCTATTGGGAAGTAACTGGGCTTGTTTTGAGAATCCGCTGTCAACTAGATTTCTTCGCTACACGAGAGTCACTCAGTACAAGTCTAAGTAGAACAAAAGCCATGGCCGTGACCGACCCAGGAGCGTTTCAGGTGTCGCATCAGCAGAAGTCTGCCAAGCTGTATGTTCGGCGGACCCCTTGGCGTGCTTCGGCTCAGCGACGAGCGTGTTTGCGAAGCAAGGTTGCAAGGGCTCGCAGGGGATTATCAACACGAGACCGAATGTGGGCAACGGAAACCAAAGGGAAGCAACATGTGTGAAATCAGGACCTTTTCACCAGGCCTCAGACGCAGCATCTTGCAACACAAATTGCTGTCGGAAAAGCACGGAGCACTCAGCTAAAGCCTTGTTGAGCTGCTAGTCGGCGACAATAGTCAGAAGCCGGTCTTCAGGGCAGCAGTCGAGTCCCTTGTGAAGAAAGGACAGCCACTCGAAGCTCTCAGCGGATTTTCTCGCAGGAAGACTTCGCTCGTTGTGGGTGTGTACTGCTGAAGACAAGCGGCAGGTAGAACAGGGAGCTTTGTAGGAAGGTGGTGGTTGTTTGAAGATTGATGCGCAAAATGATGGTACCGTACTTCAGGTCTCCAGAAATAGCATTCCAGTGACCACGGAAACTGTAGTCAGGGCCAAGTGGAGCCGTCATGTTGGAATCCCTAATCAGCATATGAGCATATGTTATGGAGAGATCGTTCCGCACAAGGCCAGGCAGTCGCAGAGCTCGTGTATAAGTGAGGCTGTGCGATGATGCCCACTTCGCCTTTGAGAAGAGATACTGTACTGTCGACGGCAAAGACTGCCCGTTGGCTGAACTGAGAGTATGTTTCGCTCCTGAACACAGCCGAGCCACAGCAGAGGTGGGGTCACCGCCCATGAGACTAGCACCACCGAATTTGTCCGACCCTGAGACACGCGGCGATCTTGGTGCAGGAAATCAGTCACACGGAATGTGAGGTCAGCTGCTCCTTCAGTGTACTTCCGCAGGCAGGTCAACTTGTTGCTGAGCCTTCCTTCCTTCAAATTCTTCCCGCCTGTGCCCAGGCGTGGAAAGTGGACTTCGTGCTCATCTCGGCTGTCATGGGCCTGTATCTCATTGTCGAGGGAATGTCTGCTGAGCTCATTCTGTTCGGGCTCAGCTGCATCTATGGTTTCCTCGGCATTATCACCGGAGACGAGGCTGTGTATGGCTGCCGCAAGTGCTGAGCTGCTTCCTTTTTGTTGGCCATGGGTTGCAGGCCTGGGCAGGTATTGCCAGCAGCAGCGTTATTGGGCTGGCTCTCCTCTTTCCTATTGCTTCGGCAATTGAAGAAACAGGCCATAGAGCACCCCCCACGCGCCTCGAGTGTTTTGGGTGACCTGTCTCAGGTGTTCTGGACACGGCCGTTGGTGTGATGCTGGGAAGTCCACAGTCCTTTCATGTCGTGCCTAGGCAGCCCAGCCAAGGGCCCTGGACATGGCGCACGTTTCCTTGCATCTTGCACGGCTTGCACGGCCAAGTGGCGAGATTCTCGCGAGGCCTTCATGCGAATGCTGGTTCCGGTTGCAGCCCTTTCTGCCGGCGCCTCGAATTTGCCCTTGGTTCGAGAGACGCTCTTCAATACCCATATGCTGCAGTGTCAACGAGATGTCAATGCCCACAGGCATTTTTGAGCAACACGGCCATCGTAACCATGATGATTCCAATTATCGTCTCCTGGTCTCGGACCCTGGGCGCCAAGCCGGGCAAGTTGTTGATGCCGCTGTCCTTCGCTGACCCTTGGCGAAATGGTTCCCACTTGTGCTTTCGAGATCTGTCTGAGAAGGTGCCTTCCGCAGACAATGTCAGAAGCAATATCCGCTCCAAGTTTTCCAGATCACGATCTCGAACTCTGCGCCATCCAAGCAGAAGACCTCTCTCGCGCTGAGGCCCAGCTTGGTGGGTCCTGCACGCTCATCGGGTCTTCTCACTGCCTGGTTGCTCGCGATAGCGTGGACAAGACGTTGCCCTTTGGCCGTGCAGGTCGAGATCCGCCTTTAATTTAGCTAGTCAGAGCTGACGGAACATGTGCTTTAGGCGCAGTGTTTTCTGATGTGCATGTCGCAGTTTTGCCTGATCTTACTTTGGGCAGACTCATCTTCGCAAATAACCATGTGCGTGCAAGGTACAAAATGACATTTTTTGACCTGTCTTACAGTGGCACCATTCTGTGTGTCATCAGCTTTGGTTTTATGGCCTTGGCTTTGCCTTGCCTTTCATCATCTGCTGCCCAAGCTGAACCTAGCGAGCAGACTGATGACAAGCAGATGGCGCCGGAGAACTTCTACACGGTCGACTTCTTTGTCCGACCGGGTGGGGGCCACGTTGGCATGGATCCGGAGTTGGCCCGACTGCAGCTGAAGCGTCTACCTGGCGTGAAGTACGTTCAAGCTCCGAGGGTCCCACTGGAGGACAATGCACGCCTTAGTTGTCTTGTCGCAGACGTGGGTGTCCTCTCCCTGCGGCAGATAAGGGGCCTGCGCATAGCACACGAGGCCACCTGGCGTCGCGGGAAAGTCTGATCCAGATCTTTGTTGAGCTTTTCCCTTCCCAAAGTTTGCCTGAGCAAGGATTCGTCATGTAGAAAACACATATGGGAAGCTCATTAGCCTGCCAGAACTTTCTGTCGAGTCCCGACTCGTTGCTCTGAGCCCTGCCAGGCTCATCTTCGAGCACTTGGCATGGAGCGGGAGAGGCGCCACCTTTACGAAACTCTGCCCTGATTTCACCCACGAACATTAAGTATGCCTGTCACCTGTCTGTCTGCGTGCCTGCATATATCTATCGATCTACCTATCCATCCATGCATGCATGCATGAATGGGTGGGTGGATGGATGGATGGATGCTCTCGCTGTGCGCACACCGCGCCACTGCGAGAGCCCCGTGGCTTGGCAACCTCCCGGCGGGCGCTCCAAATATGGTTTTCTTTGATTGTACGAAATTAATTGCAATCTGTATAGTATGTACGCACAAAGAGATGTGACCGGCTGGGTATGCTGCGGTGTGCATGGGAGGGCAGTTTTCCACACCAACCAACCAGCAGGCAGAACGGTGGCTGTAGCAGCACGGAGGCCCTGTTTCCTCCCCGCACATCCACGTGACAGACTTTAATGATTACTGCCTGTAAAGGTCCAGGGTTTTAGATTAGAAAGCAACGTCCGCTCCAGTCTGTTCTGGTTCCATCAATTCCAAAGCCAAGGAAGCCTGCCTATCCAGCGGTAGCCGAATTCTGGATGCACCCTTCGACTTTGATGAAGCTCGATTTGACATGCACGCAAGTTGCAACATTGAATAGAGCAGCACGAACCCTTCGGGACCGGGCATCACCTAGGCCATGAGACAAGCCCTGGGTTGCTGCCCCATTTCCATTCGGGGCAAGGCCGTTTGGCTGAATAACGATGTGTGAAGCGAACGGTTCTGCCAGCTGCTGTCGTTCGTCTCAGGAGGGTGTACCGCAAGCTGGCGACATCTTGCTTGTGGAAGCAGATGAGCGTTATGTAGGGGAGGCGCTTTGGGAGGAGGCCCTCTCGAATCCTAAGATCCTTCGAGCGTGATGTCTTATCAGCGCGCCACGAGGAGTTTACCATAACGAAGATGGTGCCAAACTCCAGTCCACAGCGAACTGGCGGTGTCCACGATCGTGTACGTTGCCTGGGTTGCACATCTGCTGCGGTGGACTGTACCAGTTTCTTGGCTATCGGAGCCAAGGTTGCATCTCAGTCTGTTTGGGCATGGCAGTGCTGATCTTCTCTGTGACACTGGAATTGGTCCGGCTTTCAACCGGAGCTGGGATTTTTGCATCTTGACGGCATGGGCCATCCCTCCCCCAAGAATCTGATTGCAGTCAAGGTGCTGCTTCTCGTTCTCTCGAATGCCTTCAGCATGCAAAGCGCTACCCTGCTTCAGCAAGAGGTTGTAGATCAAACTTCCTCGCATCTGATATGCAAAGGGCACTCTCCCCAGGTCTACAAGACCATCAAGGGCCCCGTGCTTTTAACCATTGCTGGTGCTGGTGGGCTGTCCCTCGCTCTGCAGGCGACAGGCATCGCGATGCCTCTCGGCCCAAAGGAGTTCCCTCGGTCCTAAAAGTCTCTCGTGAGAAATCCTCAGGTTTGCCGCCAAGCAGATGACGGCGATGGCGATGCCATTTGGAACCGTCGGACTGCGAACTGCCGTTTATTTCTTGGCGGCGTCCCTCTCATTGTTTATGAACAACAGCGCAACTGTTGCCCCTTGTCTCTGCATTCATTGGACCAAGATGGCTGCAGTGGAAAAGATGCACAACCCTCTTCCAGAAGTTCCTGTTTAGACTAGCAAGACCGCTGAACCAACCGCTGCCTGCAGGGATTGGAATGCTGCCGTGTACAGAACCACGGTGAAAATTCTTGACAGGCACGCTGGTCCATCGACCTGTCTCTGTCTTGAAAGGAGTGTCTAAAGCCCTTGCAACGTGCATGCGGCTTGGGCTCGTCCTTGCTAGGTGGGAGGGATAAAAAAGAAAATGCATGAGGCTTTGCTTGCCGAGGCAATCATTGGCCCTATGCTGGCGACGATGGCTCGCAGCACTTGCGGCGCCGACGATATCGAATGCCAACAGACCAGCATCAAGGCTTGCTGGGCTTTGCAATTCCCGGCAGCGTTGGGCCAGCTCCTGTTACGGCAGTATCCGACTGCGAGATTGAACTTGGGTGGGTGTTCACTTGTTTCCCTTGCAACTGGAGCTTGCTGAAAGAACGGTCGAGAGGGTGGATCCCAGGTATGACGCATGCCAATGTCAGACTACACCCACATGTGGAAGTCGGCCCTTGTTTTTGTGAGTGGCTGCAGTCATTGGGGGCAAGCTTGCCAGGAAGTCGGGCCTTGTTGCGGTAGCATGGGGATTCAGCACATGTTTCGAAACATAGTCGTCATCTACAAGCGTTCGCTTTATCTCGCATCGCTGGGTTGAAATACGCATCGATGAGCGTCCACACTCGGGAACCTGCTTTCAAACAATCACTTCTAGTTGCGAACGATCGGATTGTTCCACGTGGAATCGAGCGTCTAGATGGGGAATGGGAGTTTTGATGTGCTGTCATGCCACTGATGTGCTTCTCGAGAGCGCCCTTGTCGTCTAGATGGGGAATGGCTGGGTTG